AAACTAGGCCTATTAATTTGAGAAAAATTAATTTGAGCAAAGAGCTCCCCACCCTGCCCCACTCGACTGCTTTATGCAAAGCTCTTGTTAATACATCTGAATTTTCCATCCTGTCCCAGGCATCTCCTCCAGGGTGCCTCTACTAAAAACGTGCCTGAGTGTCTTTAAACTTCTCACACATCTCAGTTTTCCCTTATTAACACACCCAACAATGAAGCAGCATAAATTGGTTTTCTTTTGTGAAGGGAATTGTGTCTTGGAGAGTTGATTGCTTGAAATGTAATTTCTTCAGCTCATAACATCAAAACTGGCATTGGAAGTGTGCACGAGGGCCCTGGCTAATAGCCTTTGGTGTGATCACAGAGTGTCCAATTATTTTTTGAGGTCATGTGTTTGGAAAGGCCGGCCAACCTCTAGGGACACTGAAGCATTGTAGGCTACAGCAGTCCAGCAGCTGGTGTTTATTTCCAGCTTCTCCCATGGATAAGTGTTTAAGGTCTCATCTGTCAGTTTGGTGCACTGTGGTGACTTGCATGTTGCTGTGATGCTGGTATTTTAAATACCAGTGGGGTGACCATAGTGGACAGGTTTTAGCCGAGCTTATAGACTAAAACGGTCTAGGAAGAAAGGCTTGGAGATCCACTTCCAAGAGTCAGCCATGAAAGCCTTATGGATTACAACAGCACAGTATCTGATACCGTTAGTTCTGGAAGATGAGCCCCGAGGGTGGAAAGCACTACCCAGTAGCCACAACAATGGACTCTAGCATGCCAGTGATCATGAAGATGGCACAGGACCAGGCAATGCTTTGTTGTTACATATTAGGTCACCATGAGTCAGAGCTGACTTGATGGCAATTAACAATAACAACAACATTAGTCTAGTCAGTTAATTTTCAGATCACAAGAGTCTATAGACAATTAAGAAGAAGGAAGGTGATTTCATAGGTCTCATGGGGATCCACTCCCATGAAGCTGAGCTGAAGCCAGCACCACTAGAACCTTCCCCCAGAGTCAATACTCATTTTCTGCCTCAGGGCCAGTGACTGACTGAGACTTCATGTTAAAACCGTACAAGGAGGTTTACAGATCAGATTTCTCATTTTCTCGGTGAAGAATACTGAAAATACCATGGACTGTCAGAAGAATGAACAAATCTGTGTTGGAAGAAGCATAGCCGGAATGCTCCTTAGAAGCTAGAAGGGCCAGACTTTGTCTCTTGTACTTTGGTGATGTTGTCAGAAGGGTCCAATCTCTGGAGAATATCATGCTTGGTTAAAGTAGAGGGTCAGCAAAAAAGGGGGAGACTCTCAATGAGGTGGATTGACACAATGGCTACAAAGATGAACCCAAGGATAGCAATGATTGTGAGGATGGGGCAGGACTGGACAGTGTTTTGTTCTGTCATACATAGGATCACTATGAGTCGGAACTGACTTGATGGTACCTAAGAGCAACAACAGGCTTTATGATACCCAAGAAAGAGTTAGAAACATGACTGACTCCTTGATCTGAAGTTATCTGGGCATCAGACTGTTGGCATATACAGAGGGGGTTCCTCAGGCCCTCTGGCTCACAGGACAACTCTTTTGTGCTTATTCAGATAGTCCTGGTTTGGGCATCCCAGGCACAGAGCATGGGGAGCAGTGGAGGCAACCCTGCTCCTTTGCAAAGCCAACAAACTTCCTCTTTGAATAGCTGTGAATCATCCGGTGGAGAGGTGGGGTTGTTTTCCCAAGAAAGGTCTGGGTCTGTACGTTTCAGGGGTTTGACCCTAGTAACCAGGGTGCTAGGATGGGTGTGTTTTTGTGGCTTTGTCGTGGATTGCTTGCATTTGACTATTAGCCTAAAGGTTAGCATTTGGAACTCACCCCAAGGCATGGTGGAAGAAAGGCTTGGTGATCTGCTTCTATAAAATTTACAGCCAAGAGAACCTTAGGGAGGAGTTCTACTCTGTAACACATGGGGCTGCCTTGAGTCAGTATCAACTCAGTGGCAACAATTTAGGGTTGTGTTTGTTTGTTGTTATACTAAGCGTGATGCCTAACTTTCATGGAGCTCCTGCTGTGTATAGGCTTGTTAAGTGTATCCTCTCATTTAATCTTCCCTTGCCCATGAAAGACGAATACTAGTATTATCCCATTTTATTTATTTATTTATTTAAAAAGAGAAACATAACATGTTTCTTGAGGAGTACACTGTACACTACAGAATAACACAGGGCTTGTGACAGTGATTAAATGTTTTGTGGCTGCATAGAGAGATGCTGAGGCTTGAATGCACAAAGGTATTGATTACATGGTGAATCCCACCAGTTTGTTTCCTGCAGTTGCTTGCAACACAGGGAGAGATGAAGATAACATAAAAACTTGCAGGCTATATTGCATGCAAAATGGGGCAGGTGATGAGCTAAATGAATAATGAGTCTTCCTCTTCCCATTCATAAATGTGAGAGTCAGTTCATCTATTTCAAACCTGAACCCCATGCCATCATGTTAATTCCGACTCACAGCAACCCAATAGGACAGAGCAGAACTTTCCCATAGGGTTTCCAAGGTTGTAAATCTTTATGGAAGCAGACTGCTTCATCTTTCTCCCATGGAACGGCTGGCACGTTCAAACCCTTGACCTTTTGGTATAGTGCTTGATTATTAAAAATGCCAATGAAGGGCCAGGATTTGCAGTTTAACATTCAGACTAGCCATTTTATTTGGTTTTCACTTAGAATCTCATTCTGCAACGGTACCCACTAGCATTTTTCCCATTAGCAGCATTCAAGTGTATAAAATAGAGGTCCCTTAAGTAGATCAGAGAAAAATATGAAAAGTATTACACAATTTGAAATAATTTGTGGTATTTATGATTTCAAAGCTTCTAAGTAAATGAATGTCATAGAGGCTATATTAAATTTCATTTACTTTCCTGAACATTATCATTACATTTTCTGTGTTGCTTAGCATCGAGTTTTAATTTTAAATTTGTTGTTGTTATCATTAGCTTCCTTCATGTCAGCCCCTGACACATGGCAACCCCGTTTACAATAGAACAAAACTATACCCAGTCACACACCATCCCCCTGATAGGCTGCAAATTGGACTGTTGTAATCTATAGGGTTTTTATTTTTAAAAGTGGATCACCAGGCCTTTCTTTCTAGCCTGTCTTAGTCTGGAAGTTCCACTGAAAACTGTTCAATATCATAACAATATGCAAGTCTCTGACATCAGGATTGGGGGAAGGCTCATTAACAACCTTAGATATGCAGGTGACACAACTTTGCTTGCTGAAAGTGGGGAGTGCTTACTGATGAAGATTACAGGCTAGAGTCTGCAGTAAGGATTACACCTCAATGTAAAGAAAACAAAAATCCTCATAACTGGACCAATAAACAGCATCATGATAAATGGAGAAAAGGTTGAAGTCATCAAAGACTTCATATTACTTGGTTCTACAATCAGTGCCATTGGAAGCAGCAGTCAGGACATCAAAAGACATAATGCATTAGGCAAATCTGTTGCAAAAGACCTCTTCCAAGTGCTGAAGGGCAAAGATATTTCCTTGAAGACTAAGATGCACTTTACCCAAGGCATGGTAATTTCAGTTGCTTCATATACATGTGAAAGCTGGACTATGAATAAGGAAGACCAAAGAAGAGTTGATGCTTTTGAGTTGTGATGTTGGTGAAGAATGCTGAAAGGACTGTGGACTGCTAAAAGAACTAACAAATCTGTTCTGGAAGAAGTGCAGCCAAGATGCTCCTTGGAAGCGAGAACAGCCAGACTTCGTCTCACCTACTTTGGTCGTGTTGTCAGAGGAACCATTCTCTGGAGAAGGATGTTATGCTTGGTAAAGTGGAGGGTCAACGAAAGAGGGGAAGGCCCTCAACAAGATGGAGTGACACAGTGGCTGCAGCGATGGGCTCAGGTATAGTAATGATTGTGAGGCTGGCACAGGACCAGGCAGTGCATTTCATTCTGTTGTACATACAGTTGCTGTGAGTTGGAGATGACTCGATGGAACCCAACAACAACAACAACATGCAAGTCTCCACTGGCAGACAGTAGTGACTGTGCATGAAGTGCATTGGCTGGAATTGAATCCAAGTTTATTTCATGGAAGATGAGAATCCTACCACTCAACCACCAATGCCTCATCATCATTATTATTTTTCCAAAATTTTATTTATTTTGTCATTTACCTACTTTTATTTATCTGGAAACTGAGGCATAGGGAGATTAATGTACTAGTCCAGGATCACATAGGTGAAGTGGACCAGGCTCTGGCTCAAATCCAACTAGGCAGGCCAACAGAGCAGCAGTCTCAACACCAGGCTATGCTGCCCGTGCTGGGGAGCCATGCCCCTAACACTACAGGGCCGGGGCAAGAGTGGGAGGGCAAGGTGAGTTGTGCAAGCAGGGCTCAAAACTGACCCCATTTAGCATTTTGATATTTCGTTCATCATAGATTTTTTTTTTTGCATTAATTTTAACTTTTAAAAATATTGCCAAACCTCAGACCCATTGCTGTTGAGCTGAATTCCAACTCATAACAACTTTATAGGACAGAGCAGAGCTGCCCCATAGGGTTTCCAAGGCTGTAAATCTTTAGAGAAGCAGACTGCCATATTTTTCTCCTGTGGAAGGCTGGTAGTTTCAGACTGGGGACCTTTAGATTAGCAGCCACATGCTTAACCATTACACCACCAGGGCTCCACAAACACTGCATTTAGATATTATTTGATTACTGAGTTTCTTTGTTCCAGGGAAGGTATAATCATCTCTGTTTTATGGGTGAGGACCACAAAGGCTTAGTGTAGTCAGGAGCTTGCCTGTGGTCCCATGGCTGGTATTAACCATGTCTCCTGTGAGAAGGCTTGGTGGCTGGGGGAAGTCAGGAGGAAGGAAACCTAACTCCGCAGTGACCTGTGCTGTGCCCTCCCTGGTGAGGGCTTGTACTGGCCCCTTCTCTTCAAGCTGTGTCTCATGACAGATCTTCTCTTCCAGGTCAGGAAAGAGGTTAAAGAAAACCCGAAAGTATGACATCATCACTACTCCAGCTGAGAGGGTGGAAATGGCCCCGCTGAATGAAGAGGACGATGAAGATGAGGACTCCACAGTATTTGACATCAAATACAGGTATGGGATGGATGGGCTTTCAGGTGGGAGGCTGATGGGACTGCTCACCTTTGCAAACTCCACCAGGCCAGGCGTAGTTTCCTTGTGTTCTGGTTCTTTGGTTAAATGCTTGGGCTTGGGAGGTTCTGCATATGGAACTGATCAGTTCTGATCCCTTCCTGGAAATGCATCACACTTGAAAAGCCAGCAGAGGGGTGCTTATTCCCAACTATTCTGCAACCTGACAACATTGAGAAGTCAGATTTAAGGGAGAAAAAGCAGGACTAGATTTCAGATAATAAGCCTGTTATGCATTGACTGTGGGAATCAAGTGAAGCAAGTGGCCACATGCCTGTCACATACTGTGCACAGAAACGGAACTTACAGGCTTGCTTAAGTTGACAGCTGAGGGCATATGGGGGATTTCTGCTTGGTGTGAAAATTACCAGTGGGCTCTGAAGACAGGTGTGTTTCCTAAAAATAGGCTGTAGTAAAGTCAGAGCGATTTTGTGACTTTAGGAGTATAGTGTGTGTTTTCAGATCCTTTTGGGATATACTTTGAATATGTTTGATTCTATAGTGTAAGAACTGGGGTGAATGTAATTTAGAGAGAAGGGAAGGTCCCAGTTGGTAGTAGCAACACATCAAGCCAGTGGCCGTTGAGTTGATTCTGACTCATGGCAAGCCTGTGTGTTAGAGTAGAACTCTCCATAGAGTTTTCTTGGCTGTAATCTTCATAGTAGCAGATCACCAAGCGCTGCTGGGTGGGTTTGAACTGTAGCGTAGTGCCTAAGGCACTTGACTGCTAACAAGAAGGCTGGCGGTTCAACCAACCAGCCACTCCTCAGAAGGAAGTTGGAGCAATCTACTTCTGTAGTGATACTGCCTTGGAAACCCAAGGAGGGGTCGCTATGAGCCAGGTCCGACTTGACGGCACATAACACCAACAAACAAGAACAGTCGAGCACAAACAATTTGTGCCATCCAGGGATCTTCATTAGTAGAAAAGGTGGACAAAAATCTAGGCTATTCCCAATCCTGAGCTTTTCTCACCATTCCACTGCCTGTCAATACCTGGTAAGGCAAGCCCTCTTTCCTTTTCCTCACTGACTTCCTCTTGGGCAGCACAGCCTTGACCATATCTTGACCCTTTGCTCCTCTATATAAATCAGCTCATGAGATTTAAGAAAACAACTTTGGAATTTTGATTTGGAACTGCTGTGACTCTGTAGATGAATTGAGGGAGAACCAACACTGTTAGAAGGTCCCTGAGTGGCATAAATGGTTTGCGTTTGGCTAGTAATCAAAAGGTTGGTGGTTTGTATCCATATAGAAGTGCTTTGGAAGAGAGGCCTGGTGGTGATCTACTTCCAAAAGATTATACAACTGAAAACTTTATGGAGGTCTGTTCTACTCTGACCCACATAGGGTTTCCATGAGTTCAGATCAACTTGATTTTAAATACCATTATGATATTGGAAAAAGAACTCTAGTGGCACAATGGTTAAGTGTTCGGCTACAAACTGAAAGGTTGATGTTTTAAACCCAACCAGAGGCTCTGCAGGAGAAAGACCTGGTAATGTGCTTCCATTACAGCCAAGAAAATCCTTTGGGGCAGTTCTGCTCTGTCACATGGGGTCACTATTGAGTCAGAATCAACTTGACATTGCCCATCAATGACAGCAGCATGATACTGGATCTTTCAATTTATGAACATGGAATGATGTTCTGTTTATTTTTTCTTTTTAAAATGTCTTTTAGTATTTTTAACCATTTCTTCATAAATATTTTACAAATTTTTGTTAGATATATTCCTAGGTGTTTTATATTTTGACATCTTTTTCAAAATACCATTTTATAACTTTTTGTTTATGGTGTCTAGACATGCAATTGAATTTTTTTTTAAATTGTGATTTGGGTGAAAGTTTACAGTGCAAACTTGTTTTCCATTCAATAATTCATACACATTCTGTTTTGTGACATTACTGCAGTCATTTTTCCCATTTCCTCCCTGTGCCTACCCCTTCCCTTTGTTCTTCCTTCCTCTCCCTGCACACCTTCCTAGGTCTAACCCTGGGCAAATGCTGTCCTCTTGATCTCATGTGTTTGATTGTTCTAGAGAGTTCATATCCTCTTGATATTACTGTTTATTTTATAGGCCTGTCTATTGTGTGGCTGACAGTTGAGTCATGGGGGTTAAGTTAAGTTCTTAGCTTGAAGGGTATCTAAGGGCCATGGTCTTTGCAGTCTTATCAGTCTTCATCAGATGCAGTTGACTTTTAAAATACTGATTTTGTATCTACTACTTTGTTAAACTCTTACTAATTCTAGTAATATAAATGTTAATTCTTTGGGGATTTTAGGTATGTGTGTAACCTGAGACTGAGAAGATCTTTTATTCCCCCAATTCTTAAACACTTTATTTCTTTAGTCTTTTGTGCTTTTGGCCTCTAAGTTATTGTTAAATAGAAGTGGTGATAGTAGGCATCCTGTCTTTTTTTTTTTTTTTTTAAATTTCTTTTATTTTTAAGTTTTGACTGTGATTTTGGGTGAAGTTTTACAGAGCAAATTGGCTTTCCATTCAACAATTCATACACATTCTGATTTGTGACATTGATAACAGTCCCCATAATGTAACAACACTCTTTCCACTTCCTCCCTGTGTTTCCTGTTTCTGTTTGTCCTTTCCCGTCCCCTCTTGCCTTCTGAGCTTCATCCATAGGGAAATACTGCCCATTTGATCTTGTATGATTGGTTGTTCTAAGGAGTGCATACCGCCCTGGTGTTATTGTTCACCTTATAGGACTGTCTGTTGTTTGGCTGAAAGTTGAGCCATGGGGGTCAGTTTGGTTCCACGCTTGAGCGTCGTCTAAGGGCCATAGTCTCAGGAGTTCCATCAGTTTCTGTCAGACCAATAAGCCTGGTATTTTTTTTCTTCTTTTTTATAATTTTGTGTTTTATTCCATATTTTCCTTCTACTTTATTCAGGACCCCCTATTGTGATCCCTTTATGAGCAGTCAGCAGCGGTAGCCAGGCCCCATCTGGTCCTTCTGGTCTCAGGGTTGTGGAGGGTGAAGTTCCCATGGTCCATTAGTCCTATTTCCACATGTCTTTGATTTCTTCACTCTTCTTTTCTCCTGACGGGGAGAGACAAATAGTTGCACCTTAGACAGCCACTCACAAACTTTTAAGACCCCAGTCGTTACTCATCAAAGTAGAATGTAGAAATTATCTTTGTGGACTATATTATGCCCATTGATATTATTGTCTCCTGAGACTGTAGTCCTAAGACCCCAGGCCCAGCAACTCCTTCATTAAGTTATGGCTAAGAAGTTTTCCTAATTTTGCCCCGGTATGCTTTACTGTATTCATGGATATATTTGCAACACAAGTAAATAAGTATGTACAAATATGGTCTGTCAAACTGGTATGTATTTGCGGGTATAGTCCCATTTTTCCTCTCCTGTTCAGCTTGCATGTCTGTCTGTGTATCAACTCATAGATTACTGTTATTACTATTATGGCAGGATTGTGTATATAATAGTATTTATCTTTGTTACCTTTAACTCTTGTGCTCCTCCCAGTATCTTCCTTTGCCATGATCATTTTGTTCTGACCGTCACTTACTGTGTTTTGCCTTTCTCAAGTTAGTATGTGTCTACCCTCTAGTTAGTGATTTACCCTCCCTTCCGTCCTGTTTTCAACATTTGATAGCTAAGAGTTGGGTTTGCTGTAGGGCTGTTTTAGTTCATCACCCCCTCTTTCCCCAGGAATTTTACTTCTGTTCATAGCATGTCAAGACTTTGTTTTATTTTTTAAATCATGTTGTTGTTAGTTGCTATCAACTCACAGCAGCCCTATGTTTAATAGAACAAAAGATAGCCCAGTCCTGTGCCGTCCTCATGGTTGTTGCTGTGTTTGAGTCCGTTGTTGCGGTTTTGTGTCACTTTGTTTCATTGAAGGTTTCCCTTGATTTTACTGACCCTTGACTCTAGCAAACATGATGTTCTTTTCTAACGACTGGTCTTTCCTGATGATGTGTCCAAAGTAAGAGAGTTGAAGTCTCATCATCCTTGCTTTTTTATTTTTTATATTTTAAATTTATTTATTTTTATTTGGGTGAAGATTTACAGAGCAAATTCACTTTCCATACAGCAGTTCACATATACTTTGTCTCAT